CTTCTTTCTGGGAGGTGAGGTGGGGAGGGGGCTCTTACATAGAGTCCTGCGTACCTGTCACCCAGCTTCCCTCAATGATGACATGTAGTAACTGTAGTTCAAACAAATCCAGAACACTAAAATTGGTTACTATACTACTACAACATTCATATATATCATATATATATATGAATTCATATATATATATCATATATATATACACTACTACAACTTTCATGTATATATATGATATATATGGTACAATACTGTTACTATACTACAACATTCATATATATATGAATTCATATATATATCATATATATACCACATTCATATATATATACAACATTCATATATATATGAATTCATAGATATATCACATATCATATATATGGTACAATACTGTTACTGCACTACTACAACTTTCATATATATGAGAAATACTGTTACTGTACTACAATATATATTTCATATATATATATATGAAAGTTGTAGTAGTACAGTAACTGTAATGTACCAATTTTAGTGTTCTGGATTTGATATATATATATTCTTTTACAAAATTAAGAACACACAATTTGTATAAGTCTTTTGTCTTTTATTCTGTATAGTGGGTAAGGCTCAGTCCTCAGGTCTTACTGTAATGATGGGCTCCCCTATTTTTCATGTACAATTATATGGCTTTAGCTAAGAAACTTCTTTATATATTTTATATTAACAAAGTCCTTTTTAGGTATTAATTTGTGATAGACTGAAACTGACCCAGAAAAAGATACACACTTTTCTACACACACACACACACACACACACACACACACACACACACAAATTGGCAAAAGAACAGACACTTACTGAGCCTCTGCTATATGCCAAGGACTTTGTCAAACACTGGAACAAAGTGATGCAAAGACACAGTCCTCTCCTCAAAGGGTTCACACATCAGAGCATGTGCCTTAAGCTGAGATCTAAGAAAAATTAGTTTCTAAAAAAGACCCCTTATTGAGACCTGGGGACAAATGGCTGCATTATGTGTCAGGAAAGAGACCGAAGCACATTTTATCCTAATAACGGGAGTTGATTCTCGTGAACCAAATAGAAGAACCATCATTGTTAAAGTTGGGTATAACTAAATAATCTGGGAACTAGGAAAACAAAGAAGCCTGGGCTAGAAAAGGATTGAATTCAAGTAAGTCACATATGCTGGGACCCATTCGTGCATTGTCTGCATCCTGAGGGCCACACCTCAAATATCTATTGCTTTGATGTCATCTCCAAGCCATATGAACAAATCCTCCTCCTTTTAAAGAGTTTCTCATCTCCCTCACGGTCACAGCATTTCCCGGCCAGCCTCTATCCTCCCTCCACCACTTACTAAGCTGTGAGTGTTTTCCCATAGCTACCTGTTCTCTGTTATTCAGCCCAACTCGGAGCCACATGACCCTCACTGCTTGTGTTTTCTCTTAAATAAAAGCATCTTATTTAGCGTCACTGATTTGAGGCTTGTATTAGTTTCCTGAGACTGCTGTGACAAATTACCACAAGCATGGTGGCTTAAAACAACAGAATATTCTTCTCTCCTAGTTCTGGAAGTTAGAAATCCAAAATCCAGCAGGACTGCAATTCCTTCATGGACTCCAGGGGATAATCCATTTGTTGTCGCTTTCAGCTTTTGGTGGTTGCTGGCATTTCTTGACCTGTGGCTGCATCACTCTGATTTCTGCCCCTGTGATCATATCACCTCCTCTTCTTCCATGTCACTCCTTCTTGTACCTCACTTTTATAAGGACACTGGACCTTGGATTTAGGGCCCACCCAGATAATCCAGAATGATCTCCTCAAGATCCTTAATTATATCTGTAAAGACTCTTTATCCAAATAAAGTCACATTCACAGGTTCTGAGGACTAGGATGCAGAGATGCCTTTTTGGAGGCCACCTTTCAACTCACTGCAGGGGTTTTCCTGTCCACTCCCTCTGGGTACCAGTATTTTCATCACATTATGCTCCTATTCAGAGTCATCAATGGTTTTTCATCTTCTATCTCTTCAAATCTGAATTCCTCTGCCTGGCATTCCAGGCTTACCACAATTTGGCTCCACCTAAATTTGATACCTCACCAACATCCCACAATTTACTTCACCAGACATTTAGTGAGTGTCTACTATGCCTAAGACACTGTTTCTAGGCTTTTGGGGATACCAAAATAATTACAGTGTCACCCAGCCTTCACAGTGTGGCCCTGCTGAGAAGACAAAAGTACACAGCTATGAAACACAACACAACAAACACCACAGTCACGTCCCACCAGGCAGCCTCTGTGCTATGCACACTCCTGCTAGTCTGCTGTATCAGTCCATTCTCACACTGCTATAAAGAATTCTATAAATTATTTATAAATGACCAACAGTGGGTCATTTATGAAGAAAAGAGGTTTAATTGACTCAAAGTTCCACAGGCTGTACAGCCGGCATGGGTAGGGATGCCTCAGGAAGCTTATAATCATGGAATAAGGGTGAAGGAGAAGCAAGAACATCTTCCCAAAATACAAAAGTTAGCTGGGCATGGTGGCAGGTGCCTGTAGTCCCAGCTACTCAGGAGGCTGAGGCAGGCGAATTGCTTGAACCTGGCAGGCAGAGGTTGCAGTGAGCTGAGATTGGGCCACTGCACTCCAGCCTGGGCAACAGAACGAGACTCTGTCTCAAAAACAAAAAAAGAACAACTTCCCATGGTGGCAGGAGAGAGAGAGGGAAGCAGGAAGTGCTACGCACTTTTAAACAACCAGATCTTGGGAGAACTCACTCACTATCATGAGAACAGCAAATGGGGAATCTGCCCCTGCAATCCAATCACCTCCCACCAGGTCAGTCCCCCCAACATTGGGGATTACAATTCAACATGAGATTTGGGTGGAGACACAGAGCCAAACCAAATCACAGGCTTTTAACTATTATCCAAAACATGTGACACAATTTGGTACTTAATCACATAGTCCTACAGCTTCACTACTGTAATCACCTTTTGTGTCGCCCAATAAATGTTTCTTAAACATAAGAACTTCTGCTTCTCCTACTTTCTACCAGTTACTCCAAGAATGTTAGAAATAATCGTGTATATGTCTTTGAGTGAGACTTTGCTTATAGTAAAATCGTTTGTTGCATCTGAAGTCACTTGAATGTGGTAATTGACCCTGTGAGGTAAATTTGGAGAAAATAAATGGTGTGAAAAAGAGCACCCCATCTCTGCCAGCCTTTAAAGCTAAGGGTGCAACAATGTACTCAGGCAGGAAAAGCCAGGGCCCTGGGAGGCATTTCACCTCCACACAACTCCAGCCAGGGCAGAACAGTGAACAGGGAAGCACCATTCAGAGAGAGCCAGTGAGTGTCACCCAACAGCAACTCGACTATGCAAATGACAATATAAAATACTTTTACTTTTCTTTTTATAGACATCTAAGAATTTTTTTTTTAAATAAAAGTCTCATGTAAAGAGAGTGTCCTCATAGCAGACATACAAAGAATTAAGGGGAACATCTTTATCTTTAAGAAGCCAAATGAAGTGGCATGGTTTTATGCTTCTATTCAAATAAATGTGTCAAAATTTTCTAAACTAAGCACACTTTTAAAAGTCTTAAAATTTTAAAATAAAAGCTGAAAAATTAGGAGGTAAAATCATTTCTAACTCTGGTTTATTTTGGACTATCTCTCAGAAGTTTAAATAAATGTGTGTATATATATATATATATAATTATACATATTATATATGTGTGTATATATATATATACTAAAATACATATATAATATGTATAATTATATATATGTGTGTGTATATATATAAAAACCTAAAAAAGCCACCATATTGTTGTAGCCATTTGGCAACCATTTTTTCTTTATATAAAATTATTATATTTTATAATAGTCTTTAATTTTTTAATGATTATATGGTATTCTACTTTGTGAATGCACCAAAATTTAATGTATAGTTTCTTACTGTCAAATATTTAGAGCTTTCCAATTTTCAATATTATAAGTAATGCTAATAACAGTATCCTTTTACGTATCTCTTAAATTATTAGAATTATAATTACTGTCTTGAAGGATATACATTTACATTTTTTAGTTACATTATCAAATAACAAAGAAGTTTACATCAAAGACCAATTCAACTAATAAGAAATGTCATATTAGATATTTTTTTAATTCATAATTAAGTTACTAGGCAAAAAATGATATTTTGTTTTAATTTGCATTTCTTTGATTATTAAAACTGTATATACATTTTTCTCATGTATTTCTTCTTTAGGAATTATATCTTTTGGCCATTTTTTTTTCCTGGAGGTGATGGCTTATTTTTTTTTCTTTTTAGAAGTTCATGATTTAAGACATCAATTGCTTATAAGTACAGTTTGTAATGTTTATAATGTTTATAATGCTTTTTGGCTAATTTAAAAAATTTTCTCATCCAGAGTACCAATCTATGGGATATACTTTTTTCTTTTCTTTTTTTTTTTTTTAATCATGTTTGCATCAAGATGTAGTTAAACTCATGGCACATTTTAAACATCTGCAGATCAGTAGGATCACTTTTGGAAGAGGTCAATTATTGGCAAAAATGATTCAAAAAGTAAATGTATTTTGGAAGTACAAAAATCTTAAAAATCCTTAAAGAACCCTTTACAAAAGCAATGCAAAATATTTACTGTACATCTAAGTAATATACCTGTTATAATTGTGCCTCACCCCACCTCTCAAAATTTTATATTGATCTTTGTTTTGAGTCTGAGAGCCACCTTAATGTGGAAATGCAAGAATCAGCAGTATCAAGTCCAAGAAGAATGAAGCCAGATGGTTTTGTAAGACCCAATGTGAATAGACACATACAACAGAAATTATTTAAACTGCTTAACCATTCCCACAAAAATGAGTAGGTGTACTTAAAGAAAACTTTTTTTAAGCAGAAGTTATCTACAATATTCCAGTTGAGAGAAGATATATTCACAGGCAGTTTGGACAAGATGACACGCCATTTACATGAAAGTTTAGTTTTATTACAGGCACTTTATGCAAACATTTCAATACTTTTTGCTACTTCTATAATCTTTTAGCAAGGCAACCAGTTACAGTCCAAATGAGAAAATATAAACAAAATTACACATTTTATTTTTTAAAATCTACTTTAATTCTGTTATAAAATGTATAATGCAATTTAAACCAGGATGTCTCCCCACTTGATGAAGTCTCTCGCTCTGTTCCTTTAATTATGAAATCTCTGAAGACTCTGAACTTGATTGAGGAAATGTTAAACAGACAACTCTTCATAATTCTATAAATGCTTGCTTTTTAACTTCGATTAAATGCTATATTAAAAAATATGTAACATCTCATACAGTTACAGTTCACTGGCGCTTTGCTCCAGCCTGGACACTGACCATTGAAAAATAGATGCCTTTCTGTGCCAGCAGCTGCTGATGCGTGCCATGCTCCTTGATTCTGCCATTCTGAAACACCACTATTAAGTCTGCATTCTGGATGGTGGACAGGCGGTGAGCAATCACAATGCAGGTGCGGCCTTCTCTGGCTTTGTCCAGGGCTTCTTGGACAACCTATTCCATAATCATATAAATTAATTCTCATAGTTATTTCCCCTATTCCTCTTCCATAAAAAGCTCCATAATGAATTTCTCCAACAACAGTCTTTCTTTAACAAGATGTCAGCGAAGTAGATCAGGTTTTTGAAAACAAAGAATTTATCGTATCAGAAGATGACGGAACCTGAGTTTGGATTAGTTCCAAGGCAGCAATTATCTACCCCCACCTTTTTTTTTTAAATTTGAGACAGGTTCTCATTCTGTCACCCAGGGTGGAATGTAGTGATGCAATCACGGCTTACTGCAGTCTTGACCTCCTGGGCTCAAGCGATTCTTCCACCTCAGCCTCCCGAGTAGCTGGGACTCTTAAGTTCCCACCACCATCGCTGGCTAATTATTTTTAATTTTTGTAGAGACAAGGTCTCCCTATGTTGCCCAGGCTGGTCTCAAACTCCTAGGCTCAAGTGATCCTCCCACCTCAGCCTCCCAAAGTGCTGAGATTACAGGTGTGAGTCACAGCAGTAGATGCAGGCCAGCAGTCATCTACTCTTAAAGTTAAGGCAGTAAATACAGTTCACAGAATCATTTAAAAACATTTACTAATGTGTCTAGCCACATAACATTCTTGAAAACGGACCTCAAATCCAGCTCACAGTAAATTTAGGAAGCCTGAGCAAAGACCAAACACAGACTCCTGAATTTTAGTATTATAAGGTAGGGAATATCTCATGTGGAATTTGTCTTTCAGATCATCTGAATTCGTTACCTTTTCTCTGACTAGAAATAATTGCTAATATTTATCTTAAAAGGTACAGGCAGATTTGAACATTGTTTTACCCTCCCACTTTTTTTTTATGGTTGCTGAAGAAATGCTGCTAGTAGGCGTGGGAAATACGCCTCCCGAAAGCAGCTTCTTCGTTCAGCACAAAGTGATCTCGGGACAGTTCGTGAAGCATATGTGCTCTAAGACTAATCTGTCTTGTGCCATCTTGACTCTCCTGAATAATAGCTACAGAAAGTGTTTACATTTTACTGAAAGGTGATAAAAGTAACCATCAATAATCTGGCTACATTTTGTTCTTTACTGTGTAGAATGGAGCATTTTTAAGGATGACTGATTCAAGTATGAATGAACCCAATTTAAATTCTTACCTTTTCACTTTCTGTATCCAGAGCTGATGTGGCTTCATCCAAAAGCAAAATATGAGGCTGTCTAACAAGGGCCCGAGCTATGGCCACACGCTGTTTCTGGCCACCAGAGAGCTGGGTTCCTTTGTCTCCTACTCTGGTGTTATATTTCTGTAAATAAGGTTTTGTTGTTATGAAAGTAGAACTGATAGTAAAGTTCTAACAGGTTGCTTATAGAAAGTGGGATAGATGATTCTATACACTCCAAAAATTTAGGTTCTGAAGCTAAGAATGGTTCATGGATAATTAAGGAAACAACAATTAAAAAAAGTCCAAATGGCAGGTTTCCTATCTCTTTGAAAATGGATGTTTGGGCCTTATGATGGTATATGGTTTAGTGTAAACAAGTCAGCTTTTTAATGAAGAAGAATATTGCTGCCATGTTAGTATCTTCTATCTTCTGGTTTCATTATATCTGGGACAAAGATTGGCAGGAGAAAGGAAATTTGATTTGAACAAGGTATTCATAATAAAGTAATTGAAGCTCAATTTACTTGTAACCAGCAGGTGACACTCTCTGCATGATTTTAAATTAAGGAAAGTCATTCTTGGGATGTTAGTCTTTTAGTGTCTGTTTTTATGAAATACCTCCAACACTTAAACAACTTTAATGGATGCTGCATAAAGGATTCCATTTTGATATCTAACTTTGAAAATGAACACCTTCTTTTTAAAATTTTTCCAAAAATACTTCCCATATTGTTTCCCACAGTGGGTAATTGTCACCAACTATTCACTATGATAGGGACAGCAGTTAAAAGTTACTCAAAAGACAGCAGAAACAGGATGTGACCACACTTGTAACCTAGAAAGTAATAGTATCTTATGTCCAGGCCCTTGTCAGGCTGAAATTTTAGTACAGTGTTGCCTATGTTTATTTGCTATATCTGGTGACCCTAGTTTTGGGGCACTCAGCCCTGTGTCTGCCCCTGTAAAAAGAGGGAGAAGGCCCGGGGTTTTGTCAGATGCTTGGGACTGGCTCTACCCTAGAGCTATGGCTGCCTCAGAAGGCAGGAGCACTGGAGTGTGTCTTATGTGAGTGCAGGGGTTACTAGTTGCACTTTTAATACAGAACTGACCCTGCTGAGGCAGATAAAGGTAGTGCAGCAATCTTACAAGAAGAAGGTAACTAAGCCAGCCACCTACAGGGTGTGGTAAATCCTAGCATTAATCACTTAAAAGTGGATCCTTAGATAATAGGACTTAGGGGTTTTACCTTTTTTCTCCTGGTCTAGACACTGAGGAAGAGAATCATGGTGTCTACAGGCATGCTCTGTGTGATAGATTAGAGACCAGGAGCCCAGAAAAGAGGGGATCCCTGTGGTAGACAAATGCCAGAGGGGCAAGGTATGTTTAAGAAGATAATAGTTACTCTCTGTGTTTGTGTTTTATTAACCCCTAGCCCAGGGGTTCTCCAGCTTAAGCCTGCATCAGTATTACCTAGGTTCTTAAAACATAGATTGCTGGACCTCTGAAGTTTCTGATTCAGCAGGTCTGGGGTTGGGCCTGGAAAATTTGCATTCCTAACAAGTTCCCAGGTGATGACGATCCGTGCCTATGCTTGAGAACCACTATCTCCTCATCAATAAAGGGGATTGGAGCTTTCTGTTTTATATGTCTGAGCCTTGAGAAGAGGCAATTATCTACCAGTGGGCTAGACTGTGAAAGGAGAGTGAGAGACGAGGCCTCCTCCCTGGAACTTAATGAGATTGGCATCAGCAGTTATGGAAGAAGAGCCTACGGAAGAGGGGAATCTTGGGAAACAGAACCACCTGGAGTTGCTCGCCTGCCTCACGAGGAGACTGTCTTCCCTGCAGGGCTGAGGCTCCTGAGCTTTGTTTCAGGGGGCACTTCCTTAGAATACAGAACATAACTGGTGATAATAGGAGGGGTAGGTTACCTAGGTTGAGAAGCACTTAGGACCTAACTTTTGCAGCAACATGGATGCAGCTGGAGGTCATTATCCCAAGCAAAGTAATGCAGGAACAGAAAACCAAATATTGCATGTTCTCGCTTATAAGTGGGAGCTAAATATCAGGTACTCATAGACAGAAAAATGGCAACAATAGAAACTGGAGACTAAAGAGTGGGGAGGGAGGGGGGCAAGTGTTGAACTACTACCTATTGAGTTCTGTGCTCAGTACCTGGGTGATGGGATCATTTATACCCCAAAACCTCAGCATCGTGCAATATACCCAGGTATAATAAACCTGCACACGTACCCACTAAATCTAAAATAAAGGCTGGAAAAAATCTAATTTTGGACTTTCAATACAGGTTGAACATCCATAATCCAAAATTTTAAAATCCGAAATTCTGAAACTTTTTGAGCACCAACATGATGCCACAAGTGAAAACTTTCACACCTGATCTCATGTGACAGGTCACAGTCAAAACACAGTCAAAGCTTTGTTTCATGCTCACAGTTATTAAACATATTGTATAAGATTGCCTTCAGGCTATGTGTATAAAGCAGGCGTCCCCAAACTTTTTACACAGGGGGCCAGTTCACTGTCCCTCAGACCGTTGGAGGGCCGCCACATACTGTGCTCCTCTCACTGACCACCAATAAAAGAGGTGCCCCTTCCTGAAGTGCGGCGGGGGGCCGGATAAATGGCCTCAGGGGGCCACATGCGGCCCATGGGCCGTAGTTTGGGGATGCCTGGTATAAAGTATACATGATATATAAGTGAATTATGTGTATGCAAATATTCCAAAATCTAAAAGACTTCTGGTCACAAGTATTTTGGATGAGGCATATTCAACTTGTATTCTAAAACAAAACGGAACAAAAAAATAAAATACAGGATCTAAGAGGACTTAAGAGAGGGTGAGAGGTTCCATTTATCCAACTTCCTAGCAGGAATTCAGGGGACACTCATAGGACGACAGCCCAGGAAGGCCTAGAAAAGATTTCAACAAGCGACTGTAAACAAAGCTTGGGGTCCATGAAATGTACGATGACGAGAGATTACATGATACCATGCGCACCCCAATGGCTCAGCCCTTATTCAGAGAGAGCCCTCTTTCTGGCATGGGTTCAGCCCCCTGGACTGGACTGACTCCACAGTGAGATTTGAGGCTTGAAAGACAGCTGCAAGAAGGAAGAAGGAAGAGAAACAGGGGAGAGACATGGGGAGGGACAGTCATGGCTGCCTCCTCAGCAGGCCAGAAGCAACATGCCTGCAGGTGGCAACCCAGACTCTGCACTTGGACTTGAAGGGAAAGGCCTCCCAGACATTGTACTTAAACCTAGGGCTGAAAAAGGAGGAGCCTCGGGCCTAACAGCTTTGGACCTAGAGAACTGTTCCAGTTCTCCTAGCCCAGCAATGTTCCTCCCTCCTAAACTTGAAGCGGTCCAGCACTTTCATTCCTTCCTCACAAGGACAGGTGATCAGGTAAAGGTAACATCTAACCCAGATAGGAAGTGTGGCCCGATGCTTGTATACAGGTAAGGGTATGATTTAGATGCTAATTTCTCTTCACTTCTGGGAAACCAGCCCCTTAGAAATCAAACTACAGGCCAGGGACACTGCCACATGCGCCAGGGCTGTTAATTTGGAAAGGGACTTACCTTAGGCAGTGACTCAATGAAGGTGTGTATGTTGGCCTCCTTGGCTGCCCTCACGATCTCATCCTGTGACACCACTCGGCTGTTGTCTCCATAGGCAATGTTCTCACCAATGCTGCAGTCAAACAGGATGGGCTCCTGGGACACGATGCCCAGCTGTGCTCGGAGCCACTGAACATTCAGTTGTTTTATTTCTTTGCCATCAAGCAGCTGAAAACAAGAGTTCACAGATCAACTTCAGGACAAGCACACTTTGAATTTAGCACAATTAACATCATCATTTCCTAAACTGAAATTGCCAAGTTACTGTGAGATTAAGGAAAAGGTTGTGTGATTAAAATTTGGACAGTTAAGGTTAATCCAACCAAGTCATAATTGTATGCTTTGAGGAACTGTCATGCTTCCTGTGTGTCAACCATAGTTTCTGATGTATGCACATGGTAGGCAGAACAATGTTCCTTCTCCCACAAGGCATGTATGTCCTAATCCCTGGATCCTGTGAATGTATTATGTTACATGGCAAAAAGGAATGAAAGTAGTAGATGTAAGCTCGCTAATCAGCTGACTGTAAAATAAGATTATCCTGAATTATCTTGGTGGGCCTAATGTAATCATAAGGGCTCCTAACTGAGGAAGAAGGAGGGAGGAGAGTATCAGCAGTGCAGAGTGAGAAAGATTCAACCAGCCACTGCTGGATTTGAAAATGGAGGAAGGGGCCACAAGCAAGAAAACAGATCATCCTTTGGAGCGTCTGGAAGGAACAGTACTGCTGACACTTCATTTGAGCCCACTGAGACCTATTTTAGACTTCTGACCTTCAGAAGTATAAGGTCATAAATTGGTGGTGTTTTAAGCCACTGAATTTGTGCCATGTGGTTATAGCAGCCAAAGAAAACTAATACAATGCCTAATACTTCTGAGATGTATCCTGATAGCCTTATTCTTATATCTCCATTTTTCAGAGAAAACGTAGCCAGGATTAGAGTGGAAATAAATAACAACTATGACCACATAATAAGTTTGCTGGTCAGGAACTACAGGGGATGGATAGGTGAACAGGGCAGGAAAGGGTGGACAGACATCCTCAATACTGAGCCAGATTAATAGGAATGGAGAGCTGCCCTTTCTCTATAATCTGGCTCCCTGGATTATCCTGCAGAAATCTGGGGAGGGCCCCTTACAGCCTTGCTAATAACAAGCCCTACTCTGATGCAAATATGCCTGCCAGATAGGTGTGCTTTGCAAGAGAATTTTCTGGCATTCAGGTGAGAGAGCTGTTCATCCCTTCTGAAGAAGGCACCAGTGACTCAGCTTTGAGCTTTTCTAATAGTAGCGACAAGCATGTACTGAGCCATATACTCTGTGTATTGCATGTGCCTGGCTGGGTGGCTCAAGGGGACAGCTGGTGAGTGGCAAGGTACAATCTTTGCTATAGGAACGTGGCTTCTGCTTGTGACACTGGCAGGTGGAGGGATGGAAGCTCTGCCATGACCTTATTAGTACCAAGCTGAGTTGCCATAGAGACTATTCCACACACGTACGCTCCAGGTTTCCTTACAATGCTAATAAATGAAGGTGGAAAGCAGAGGGTGGAGAGAGACAGTAAAAGCCAAACGAGGATATGGCTAAGCAGAAGATCTTGTCAGATAAAACACTGTACTTGAGAAGTGGAAATGTAAGGAAAGGAGTCGTTTTGTTTTTGTTTTTGTTTTTGTTTTAATTTTCCAGGTTTATGCCCCTGGGAGGAAAACAGACACTGCCTAGCTAATATAATCACAGGCAAATCTGAATGATCTCAGCAAGTTATGATGAGTTTCTTCATTACACTGAATACACTCTTGGGCTTCCTGGTTCCCACATAATACCCTAGAATTGTAAACTATTTAAAACCTATGTTGATTGAAGAATTCTTTTTTTAGGGAAAATAAGTTTAGAAGCCTAGAATGTAAAACAGATCAAAGCAGAGCTTCTTTGGCTGAGGAATGGTGTTGCTCTGATGGAAGACCAAGGAACTCTGGGGAATCTATGAGAACTGCTCAAAAAACCCTGGTCTAGATAAAAACATAACTAAGAAAGTAAACATGTTGGTAAGAAATAATGTAAGGCCAGATTAAAATGATCAGCTATCTCTATTGTAGATTTTTAAATCTATTGATTGCTTTTATTAGCACAAAAATGTTAAATATGTATTCTTCTATGTGTATTTACTTGAAATAATCGATTTTTAAAAATTGAGCACTAACAATATTGTAGGTGCTGTAATAAGCATGACTCATACAGTCTCTTGTTTAACCTTCACAGCAACTCTTATGAGGTTACTGATATTAATTCCCATTTTACTGATACGGAAATGAGCAAAGGTAAGTAACTTATACAAGGTCACAGTAATTAGGGGAAAACTCGGACTGGATTCAAACACTGTAGGCTGGGTTTTGGTAACACTAATATCTCACAACTGAAAGATATTTTATGTCCTCGCTTGAAAGGGGAATGCCTCCATCTTGGCCCAGGCACTTCTCTTATAACCAGACAATGGCAAGCAGCTTCTAACTGTATTCTAAAGGGGGCTCTGACTGTCGTATATGGGAGAGACTGGAAAGGGGAGAAAGAAAAGGTCAGGGGAAGACTCAAATCAAGGATGATTTAACAGTGATGCTGATGAAGGTTAAGCTTCAGGAGCCCTCAATTACATGTAAATTCTGGGAAGTTGAACAGTGTTCTGGGTGGGAGGGCGGCAGGGCTACAGTCAGGAAGCTCTTTCCTGTAAGTGTGGATGATAAATTGCCTAAAAATGAAAGGGACCAGAATCTTTAAGCTTCCAGTATTTGGTTGTGATTTCTTTTTATTTGAAGCAAGTATCCACTTTTCTATCTAATTTTGCATTCAAAACTTTTTCTTTTCTTTAAGGTGAATCCGTAAAATTGTGTAACCTTCAGGTCCCTCAAAACTTGGATCCTCCCATCTTCACAATTCTATAGCTTAATTTTTCAAGACTCTCCACAATTTAACCTACATCTTTCTTCAAATTCACCAGTTCAGTAGATCTCAAATGACGGTTGGCAGCAGAATCACCTAGAAAAAGCCTAAAAATAAAAGGCCGAACCCTAGCCTACTTGAATAATCCAGGCTGGCGGTGTTTTTTACTAGCTCTTTGGACCGTTCTGATATTCACCGAAGCTTGACAACCAACACTTCAGGTCAATGTTTTTCAATGTGTGATTCAAGGTCCACTGATGGTCATGAGAATTTCCTGACTTCGGGAGGTCCTCAGGGTCAAATTCTTTCTTTAATTCTTATGCTCAAATCATAGACTAATTTTTACATGGCAGTAAAAAATAACTAGTAGAAATTCACTGAGTTACTCAGGGCTACTCATTGATGTCCGTAAATAAAATTTTGTACATTTACTAGAGTTTATTGTGGACACTTTCTGCTAAGACGTCTGGCTGCAGTGCACCATCTGGCAGTATTTCCAAGTGCAAATGCACAGGAGAAGATAATGGATATTCCTGCATAAATGAGGACACTCTATTTTCAGTCTAATATCAAAATGTTCTCGGACGCTTACTGTCCTATGTACTCAACAGTCATTTCGGTATACTTCCTTGTCTGCCCTTTTATACATCAAGGAATTAGAAGGCTAAAAACTATTTCCCAGTTTCCCTTGGTTCTGGAAGTAAGTTAGGGTCTACCAGGGAGATGCACAGTGTAAAATCTGGAAGGCAGACACCAACTCTCCTTCAGCAGCTGTAGTAAGCTAATGGCTTAACTCGTCTTTGACAAACAAGAATTTCTGCAACAGCCAGATTCTAGTCTTGGGTCTTTAAATTTGGAACAGCTGTGACATCGGCATAATTTTCTGCAGCTTCTTGGTTACAGAATCACAGCTGCAGTGCAGTGATTTGGAAGTCTGGGAGCAAGCAGCCACCTTTACTTTCACTCTTCCAGCCCTTCCAAAGATTTTGTTAGCATGTAATTCCCTCTACTTGAAACATCTAGTGCAGTTTCTTTTTCCTACTCTGAACTATAACTGATGCTATCCATGTTTTAACTTATGTTCTGCTTGTGTTTATGTACTTGCAGAATGATCAATACTTCTTCTTGTATCATTATTGTGCTGTATTGTATTGTTGTTTTCAACTCCAACATTTCGTTATTACCAAGTGTTTTTCCTATTGGAAAGTGACTATGAGTACATTAGTGGATGGTGACATTTTTAAATCATTCCTACATGAGTTATCATCAGAAAAGTTGAGAACCACTACTCAAACTAAACTCCCTATTTCAGTCAAAGTGTCCTATTTGCTGCATTGGGTACAAATCACTGATAACAGCTTGTATTTTCTCTTACATTGAATGTCATCCCTACTGTTCACCCATATGCAAATCCTTATCTCTTAAGAACTAGCACTAGGCCTATCTTCTTTAATCTAACTCATGTAAGTATATGCCCCATCTCCTCAGTTAAAGTACTTGAGGGCAGATATCACGCCCTACAATTCATCATAGCACAATATTTAACACATTACTTATTAACTGCCTGTTTAGGGCCATAATAAGTGTCTGAGACCTAACATTTCCTCTTCTAATTAATTGCTTCGGCTATCAGAAACGTCTTCATTTAGAGTCTTGTTTTTAAACTCACCACAAAATTGAAGGACACAATCAGAGTTCACAGAAAATATAAAGCAAGAGAGTAAAAGCAGGGAACAAGCTTATGTAATGATTCAAGAGTAGACTGAATGAAGGCATAATTGTCTTTGACTACAATTACAAATATTTATGAGTAAGAGGAACTGCTGTGAAAAAGTCAAAAGAGCCCTAGACTACAGGTTGAAAACTCTTTTAATTTCAGTCATTAAATGCTACTAACCTCCATCTGACTTGTACCAGCAGGTGTCCATTCTGACTGGTCAGTGCTCATGCTGTTCCCGTTGTTAAGTATTTTAAATATCACTTCTCGATACAACTAATTACATGCCTACATAATGAAAATGTCTTTCTCTTAATTCTATTCCTTTTCAATTTGTCTTCTTTCCTATCCCCCTTTCCTATTCCCCATGATAATCCTTTAAACTCACCACTCCCTGCCAGACACCTCTCTCATCCCCATCAACATTCCCTGACACATTTTAGCTCAGAAGACAAAAGGACATACTTCCACATTCTTTATACATTTCCCAAATTTGATTCTACTTTTTTTTCTCAGATGTGTTTCAATGCCCTCTCTCCATCAACGATTTTGTCTCATCCCCAGTCATAAAAATGCTCAAGAATTTACCTCCTAAACATTTTCCCTGGACTCTGCCTCCCTACTCAAGCACTGTCCTTATTTGCCTCTTTTACTTTCAATATTCTTGATAATCTATACTCACTTAGATCTCCATTTTTCCTCCTAACCATACTTCAGCCACCCTTAATTGTTTTCTACCATCACTACTTCACTAAGAATATTTTAAAATGTGTGAAACAGCCCATTCATTGCTAGACTCTATCACGTCTTCTCAGTCTACTCCCTGCCCAATCTCTGCATACCATCTGTCATTGCTGGCCACCATCTTTGAAACAGTCCCCATCCTCGGCTTTCATCTCACTCCTAGCACCTGTTCTGAATCTTTTTAGATGCTTCTATTTTTTTTTCTCTTTATGTTTTTTATTTTATTTTATTGCGTTTTAGGTTTTGGGGTACATGTGAAGAACATGCAGGATTGTTGTATAGGTACATACACGGCAATGTGGTTTGCTGCCTTCCTCCCCATCACCTATACCTGGCATTTCTCCCCATGTTATCCCTCCCCAACTCCCCACCCGCCACTGTACCTCCCCTAGTTCCCCGCTACAGACCCCAGTGTGTGATGCTCCCCTCCCTGTGTCCATGTGTTCTCATTGTTCAACACCCACCTATGAGTGAGAACATGCAGTGTTTGATTTTCTGTTCTTGTGTCAGTTTGCTGAGAATGATGGTTTCCAGGTTCATCCATGTCCCTACAAAGGACACGAACTCATCGTTTTTTATGGCTGCATAGTATTCCATGGTGTATATGTGCCACGTCTTCCCTGTCCAGTCTATCATGGATGGGCATTTAGGTTGGTTCCAGGTCTTTGCTATTGTAAACAATGCTGCAACGAACATTTGTATGCATGTGTCCTTATAATAGAATAATTTCTAATCCTTTGGATATATACCCAGTAATGGGATTGCTTATTGGTTCTTCTCAAGTCAGCTGAAACTGAAGTACAGCAAGGGAGATGTGTGGTAAAAAAGGTGCTTGCAAAGGAGGGTAGAGGGGTAGTGTTGAAGGGAGCCTGGAGAAGTTGGCTGGGGCAGATGACACCACTTAACCATATGTAGGCTGTCAGACTAAGTGGGGTTATTGTTTAAAGGTCTGAAAAAAACATGGCTTATAGTTGAGAATTAAATACAGTCAGACATTTGGATGATGAAAACCTGAACTGAACTAAATATGAAAGTGTGCTCACCACTGTCCCCGCCAAGGGGTCGTAGAACCGCTCCAGGAGCTGGACCACTGTGCTCTTCCCACAGCCACTGCTGCCCACCAGAGCCAGCGTCTGGCCCTTCTTCACCTCCAGGCTCAGCCCCTGAAGCACTGGGATGTCTGGTCGTGAGGGATAGTTGAATACAACTTCATTAAATGTCACATTTCCTTCCAGTGTTTTCTGCAAAGTGAAGAATAACAGTAAATTTGATGGCTGCAATATTGAAAATAAAGTGTATAGCTAACTTTCTCGATTATCAAGTATCAGAAGGTAATGAATTCATATTACAATTGGCTTCACTTCAAACTGCTGGAATTTATTTATTTTTATTTTATTTTTTATTTTTTTGAGACAGAGTCTCACTCTGTCACCCAGGCTGAGTGCAGTGGTGCAATCTCAGCTCACTACAACCTCCGCCTCTCAGATTCAAGCAATTCTTGTGCCTCAGCCTCCTGAGTAGCTAGGATTACAAGCATGCGCCACCACACTCAGCTAATCTTTTTTTTGTATTTTTAGTAGAGATGGAGTTTCACCATATTGGCCAGGCTGGTCTTGAACTCCTGACCTCAAGTGATCCACCTGCCTTGGCCACCCAAAGTGCTGAGATAACAGGCATGAGCCACTGTGCTCTGCCTCAGACTGCTAGAATTTAATGACATCTAAAAGAGTGAAAGCTTTCATAGCATATATTAAGACAATATGAATATATGGTACAGCTGCGATAACTCAAATCTGTTCCTCAGGAATATAATAACTTACATGTAATAAAATCTGGTGACCAGCCTGGGCAACATAGGGAGACCTTGTCTCTACAGATAATTAAAAAATTAGTTGGGCACAATGGCACATGCTTGCAGTCCCAGCTACTTGGGAGGCTGAGGCAGGCTCCCAACTCGATTAATAGGGTTTTCTTATAAAGTAGGCAGTATTCCTATTTCTCTATAACCTTTGCTAGATAAAAGTACTGAATGTTCATGTATATTAGTAGCAGCTATTGAAAAGAATCTATGATCTAGAAAGTTTGATTTTATTATGAGCATATTTGAAAGTACAAATTTTATTAAGTTTCTACTTAGAATATTTTCATTCAGGAGTCAGAAGTAGATCAAATAGTTGAAACATCAAACTTACCGGCTTTAGGCCTTCGGTGCTGTAGCTGTCAATCAAAGGGGTTTTTTCAATGATCATGATGATGTGAGCTGCTGATACTTTGGCTTTGGCATAGTCAGGAGCAAATGAACTGACTTGCCCAACAGCCATGGCACCAAAGACAATAGCTGAAAATACTCTGGAAAGCACAAAGACAAAACATGTGCACAGTGTTACGACCACATCTAGAAAGCTGACATTCTTTTTTTTTTTGAGATGGGGTCTTGCTGTGTTGCCCAGGCTGAAGTGCAGTAGTACAATCAGAGCCCACTACAGATACGACCTCCAGGGTTCAAGCAATCTTCCCACTTCAGCTTCAGGAGTAGCTGGGACTAAAACTATGCACCACCACACCCAGATAATTGTTTTATTTTTTGTAGAGATGGGGTCTCCCTATTTGGCCCAAGCTGGTCTCAAACTCCTGGGCTGAAGCAATCCTCCTGCCTCAGCCTCCCAAAGTGCTGAGATTATAATGTGAGCCACCATGCCTGGCTGAAAATGGACACCACTATAACCAGAAAGCTTTGCCTCGAATAGTTATAGAACAGATGGCTGGGTGCAGTGGTTGATGCCTATAATCCCAGCACTTTGGGAGGCCAAGGAGGGTGGATCATGAGGTCAAGAAATCAAGACCATCCTGGTCAACATGGTGAAACCTCGTCTACACTAAAAATACAAAAATTAGCTGGACATGGTGGTGCATGCCTGTAGACCCAGATACTCAGGAGGCTGAGGCAGGAGAACTGCTTGAACCCAGGAGGCAGAGGTTGTGGTGAGCCAAGATCACGCCATTGTACTCCAGCCTGGGTAACAAGAGCAAACTCCGTCTCAAAAAAACAAAACAAAACAAAACAAAAACCAGATATTAAAAAATAAAACAAACACATTTCCTTATAAGTTCATGTCAGTGTGATAGACTGATTGCAAAAGAACCCATTTTTCCACCTCTCTCTGTATCCTCATCTTCTTGCAGTGTGACCTTTGCAGCACCCTTTGAATCTGGGCTGATCTTGTGACTTGCTTTGGCCAACAGGATGTGGTGGAAATTACTTTTGCCAGTTCCAAGCTATGACTCAGGAGGGCCTTATATCCTTTGTGAACATGCATGCATGTGCTCTTTCTCTTTCTCAGAACACTGCCACTGTCTCAAACCCAGGGTAGCCTGCTGGAGGATGAGGTGCACATGAAAGACAGCTATGTGGATCCCAACCAACCAGCTACACACACAACCCACTACAGACACATGAGTAAGTCCAGCTGAGATCTACTATGCCTAACCCAGATCAGTGGAACTTCACAGCTAACCCACAGGTTTGTAGGAAAAAACACGTATGTCTCTGAGGTTTAGTGGCTGGTTGTTCCACAGCACTACTGTGGTGATCAACAAGAGGTACAGTCAGTGATGTTGGAATTACATCAGATTCTTAAAAACCTGTGAACTGTGCAACAAAAAGAAAGTTTCTTATAGAATCAGTTATCATGTTGCTCCCAAGATGCACTGACATTCTTATTTATGGCGTGGAAATCACAGCAACTTAAAGTTGCGAAGGACCTTACAGGTATCAAGTCCAGCTCTCCATGTTCGTACCTAGACACCTCCCCTAAATCGGCTTCCATCCTCTGTTTTAGGAAGTAGCATGTTTGACTGTTTATTGTTTAAAAGTTCTTTTTCAAACTGAAGAAAAAATTTATCTCCTTTTACATAAGACAGGCCTACAAGTCTTGAAATATTGCTAAAAACTTCTTTGTTTCTTTGATAACTCTTTTCATGCCCTTCTCTAGACATATTTATTAATATGCTTTTTTAAGCAGCAAGCCTGGAGTTGACATAATACTTGGGAACCCTTCCAGAATACAGGGAATCCATTACTTTCTTTCCTCTGGACTCTATGCCTATGTTTATGTAGCAGATGTTGTCATTAGTTTTCGGGGTTTTTTTGTTTGTTTAACTAGCACTAAATAAAATACACTGATGGTTAATCTCCGCCTTGTGATCATTTAAACCTATGGGACCTTTTTCTAATGCACTGCTCTTCAGACAGCTCTTCCTTTTCCTTAACTTGGAATATTGACTTTGCAAACCAAAATGCCCCAATGTCAGCAACTTTCACCATTCAAGTTTTTGGAGTAAAACAATATATCAAATAATTATCTAATCAAAGCCCTAATGCCAGTGATGCTGGCATTTTGATCTCTAGGTCATAATCACCAATAGCACCTGCATATCATTTGTCTAACATACATCTTTAATGGAAATTTAGATGTCTTTTTTGGGGTCATCCTGAGCAAACTGTAATGCAAGAACAACTCAATGTCTAAAAAGGACAGAAATACTATACTAACACATTACACTGCCAGGCTTATGTGATTCTGGTTTAAATGTAAAACTATATTGATACTAATTATGTTACGATATCAAGAGGCAGAACCTTGCTCATCACGAAATCTAGAAGCTCAGAAAGATTACACATACTTTTGACCACCAAAATGCATATTTGGGTACTTTAACAGTATAATCAGCTTCAGGCTTATCTTCCTCTGACCAAAGTACAATTATCTACATTCAGAACAATGTAGCAGAAAAATCCCAATATAACTTTTCCTTTATCATTTCTAAATTCATAAGGCGTTTACCTTCCAACACTTCTCTTATCAAGGAAAAGTAAACTTATCCTGTAGTCTCCTAGGGCTTGCAGAACTTAGGACAACCCATCTGTACTTTACCTGCTCTGTAAGAAAGTCCTTTAAAGGGAGCCAGTCAGACTGCTTGCTCAGGGTTAGGCTTCTTCTCAAATGCCAAGGCCTTCTCTAAATCTCTAAATAAAATCACTCCACCCAGTCACAGATTTGGAAAGGTCAGATGTACGTGAGCCAGCAGTGGAGAAAGAAGTTACTGCTCTTCCAAATGAAAGGAAGTGCTTCGGTGGTGGCACATGGAGACTCAGAGGCAAAATGCCGCTTTCTCAATCACCAGAATCTTTTCATGAAATTTCACAGTAGAGTTTCCTATCTAGACAAGAAGCATGTTCGTCCCAGTTTTATTTTGCGAGTTTAACTATACATAATAGTCCAATACTTACAGTAGAACATCCTCAAAGCTCATGAGCCTACGTGCCACCAAGTAGGCTCCAAACCGGAAACAGCCAGCATAGGAAAAATACATCATTGCCTGGGTGAAGGAAAATGTGATTCCAAAGATGTGTGCTTTCTTCAAAGAGTTTCTGAAAAGAAGACATTTGAAAACTCATTCCACTTTCATTTCTCAGTCCTTAAAATCTAACTTTTGACAGATTGGCAGTAGGGTACAGAGGCACAACTGACAAAGGTGGGTTTAGTTTCCAAAGAACTAAGTCTGGTCTTCACTTTACACTTAACAGCTGTGCAAATTTGGGAAACAGCCTAACCTCTGAAACTCAGTATCTTTATCTTTAATGTAGAATTAACTACACCTCAAAGTGTTGATGTAAAGAGAAAATAATCCGATGACTCTAAAGGGCTGGTTAGGGATTAATAAGTGAAAGTTCTCTCCCTTCCTCCCACTTTTGGACATACAACATGTAAGTACTCTATGTAAATATTCATTCTGCACATGTTTACCCAACACCTACAAGTTGCAGGGGCCATGCTGGGGGACATAGAGGAAACAGGCATGTTCTTGCCTTAGGACACCCAAGAGTTGAGTTGAATCACTACACGATGGAGGTGTCTTATGAATGATCTGTTATGGGAAGAAAGGAGAAGCACTTAATTCTCTGGGGGAGTTAGAGAAGGTTTTACAAAGGGGTTGACATTCTAGAATTGTGACATGGAGCTCAGCGATATGGAGGTGTCGGTGGAAGCAGGTTAGCGAGTGGGCAGCCCTGGCTTCCAACCCCTCCTGCTACCAGATCATTTCTGCTTTTATCTTCACCATGTATCAGGATATCAAATAAAAATTTTTTTAGACAAAAAAGCTCTACCATCATTTTTTTTAAAAAAAAGCTTAAAAACCCATCAATAAGGTCCAGTTCTCTTCTTTTATTGTAAGAAATAGACTTAGAGAGGTTGGACTTGATTATGTTCACACCATTTATTAGACTCCACACTGGGATGACTGTTAAAGGAAGAAGGTCTGCACTGGAGAAGGGGTTAAAAGCAGAAAGACAGGTAACCGAGGAACCGCCATCCTCTCTGTGTACCACAAGTACCTCAAATTTCATGTTCCATAAATAACTGATTTTCAACTAGAGCCAATTATAGGGTCATATCCTGACTGGACATCTGATAATTATTCTCAGCATCATGTCTCCCTCCCTCCCGCATCAGTGACCCATTCTTTTTTTTTTTTTTAAGACAGTCTCACTGTCACCAGGTGCCAGGCTGGAGTGCAGTGGCATGACCTCAGCCCACTGCAACCTCTGCCTCCTGGGTTCAAGCAATTCTCCTGCCTCAGCCTCCTGAGTAGCTGGGACTACAGGCATGCGCAACTACGCCCAGCTAATTTTTTTTGTATTTTTAATAGAGATGGGGTTTCACCATGCTGGCCAGGATGGTCTTCATCTCTTGACCTCGTGATCCACCTGCCTTAGCCTCCCAAAGGGCTGGGACTGCAGGCATAAGCAGTGACCCATTCTTACACGTTCTACCTCAGAGATGTCCCTGCCTTAGTTCATGGTATTGTAATTTATCTCCTGCATAATTACAACTGTTTCCCAATGGGTTCCCTTCAAGTACTTTCTCCACTTGCTCCCTACTTTCTGGCTAAAGTAATCCTTTTGAAAACAAACATGATGATTAAAAATTCTTCACACGCCCCTTCCACTCTTCAGCAGTTATTACCTGTAGGGTACCTGCAAATTCTGTGCATACATATGTTCAAACTTCTGCTCTTGGGTCAAAGAAACAACAGTTCGGAAGTTTTCTATTGCTTCAGTAGCAATCTGTAACAGAGGGCAGCAATTACCAAGAGGCACAAAAGTAAACAGTGGTAATTAATTTGAATTCTATAAAAGAGACTAATAAAAATTTTATGATTACATATTTATTATTATGCATAAGCATTTTCTCTGTAGAAAAGGATACTAAGTAATATATCAAATTGAGTTATGGATCTGAAAGGAAGATCGACTAATTCAAACTTCTCCTTTGCAGAAAGAGAAGCTAAGACTTAAACGGATTAAGGCATTGCTTAAAGCCACATAGCTTTACGTGCCTTCACAAAATTAACCTGAGAACTCACAGTACTTCACATATATTGCAGTGCTCTTCTTCTACGATGATCACATTTTAAGTTCAGTTATTTTACACATTTTTTAAACATGATGTTTATATTTGGCTCTTTATTATTGCCATTTGTGACAACTGAAGAATGTTTGGAAAATACTGAAAGAATGAAGGCAATAAAAATTATACTTTAGATACATTAATCGGCTTACTCCTTGTGCCCATGGATGCCGCCGGGGAAGTGTCATTAAAGTCTCTCTTCCCCCTGCCATCATGTCTAAGTCAGAGTCTCCTAAAGAGCCTAAACTGCCGAGGAAGCTCTTCACTGGAGGGTTGAGCTTTGAAACAACTAATGAGAGCCTGAGGAGCCGTTATGATCAATGCAGAAGGCTCACAGATTGTGTAGTAATGAGAGATCCAAACACCAAATGCTCCAGGGGCTTTGGGTTTGTCACATATGCCACTGTGGAGGAGGTGGATGCAGTCGTGAATGCAAGGTGACACGAGGTGGATGGAAGAGTTGGGGAACCAAAGAGTTGTCTCAAGAGAAGGTTCTCAAAGACCAAGTGCCCACTTAACTGTGAAACAGATATTCATTGGTGGCATTAAAGAAGACAATGAAGAACATCACCTAAGAGATTATTTTGAATAGTATAGAAAAACTGAAGCAACTGAAATCATGACTGAGCAAGGCAATGGCAAGAAAAGGGGCTTTACTTTTGTAACTTTTGACAACTGTGACTCCATGGATAAGACTGTCTTTCAGAAATACCATACTGTGAATGGCCGGAACTATGAAGTTAGGAAAGCCCTGTCAAAGCAAAAGCTGGCTAGTGCTTCACCCAGCCAAAGAGGTCAAAGTGGTTCTGGAAACTTTGGTGGTGGTCGTGGAGGTGATTCGGTGGGAATGACAACTTTGGTTGTGGAGAAAACTTCAGTGGTCGTGGTGGCTTTGGTGGTAGCCGTGGTGGTGGTGGATACGGTGGCAGTGGGGATGGCTATAATTAATTTGGTAATGATGGAGGCAATTTTGGAGGTGGTGGAAGCTACAATGATTTTGGGAATTACAACAATCAGCCTTCAAATTCTGGACCCACAAAGGGAGGAAATTTTGGAGGCAGAAGTTCTGACCCATATGGTGGTGGCAGCCAATACTTTGCCAAACCATGAAACCAAGGTGGCTATGGCAGTTCCAGTAGCAGCAGCAGCTACGGAAGTGGCAGAAGATTTTAAATTACTGCCAAGAAACAAAGCTTAGCAGGAGAGAAGAGCCAAAGAAGTGACAGGGAAGCTACAGTTTACAACAGATTTGTGAACTCAGCCAAGCACAGTGGCAGCAGGGCCTAGCTGCTACAAAGAAGACATGATTTAGACAAATACTCATGTGTATGGGCAAAAAACTCGAGGACTGTATTTGTGACTAATTGTATAACAGGTTATTTCAGTTTCTGTTTCGTGCAAAGTGTAAAGCATTCCAACGAAGGGTTTTAATGTAGATTTTTTTTTTGTACCCATGCTGTTGATTGCTAAATGTAGTAGTCTGATCATGACACTCAATAAATGTGTCTTTTTTTTAAAAAAAAAAGTATATTTTACACATTTGCATATTGTATTTTTAAATATGTGCATAAACATATTTAATGAGATTGTGTTGAAACTCTATATTTAGCTCTATATCATTATTTTTTACCTTAATATCAAAAGCATTTTTCATGCTCATTAAATGAGATGTGTAATGAATCCTTTAATATCACAAGCAATTAAGTATTCCTTTCTTATTAAAAATAATGCTAAGATAAACATCTTTGTACCTAAACATCTGTCCCCATTGAATTGGTTTATCAGCAAAATTTCCTAAGGTGAAATTAATAGGTAAAAAAAACAACAACTTTCTTTGTTTTAGAGATGGGGGTCTTGCTCCATTGCCCAGGCTGGAGTGCAGCGGCTATTCACAGGTTTAATAACCATAGCTCAATGCAGTCTCAAACACCTGGGTAAGCAATCCTCTTGCCTCAGTCTGCCCAGTAGCTAGTATTACAGGCATGTGGTACCACACCTGGCTTGAATTAACTTTTTTAATTTTTTTAAGAAATGTGGCACATACCATTAACCTGTTTTCCAGAAAGTTTTGGGCTGGGTGTGGTGGCTCATGCCTGTAATCCCAGCACTTTGGGAGGTGAAGGCAGGTGGATCACTTGAGGCAAGGAGTTCAAGACCAGCCATGGCCAACATAGTGAAACCCCATCTCTACTAAAAATACAAAAATTAGCTGGGTATGGTGGCATATCCCTTAATCCCAGGCTACTTGGGAGACAGAGCAAGAGAAGCGCCTGAACCTGGGACACAAAAATTGCAGCGAGCCAAGATGGCACCACTGCACTCCAACTTGAGTGACAGAGTAATACTCCATCTTAAAAAGAAAGTTTCCATCATTTAATTATGTTGTAATTGAATGTTACTCCTAATAAAACAATTTGATTAGGAAACATAGATCCTTCATCACCTCTAGAGTCTGAATAAAGGGATATTGAAAATGCAAAGAACACCAGTGTACAAGATGAGATTTCAGTCTATATCAGCCACACAACCTTGAACCGCCATGCTGTCTCATTTTCCTCACTTGTGAAATGAGGAGGATGGACTATAGGGTCTCTAAAGTCCCCTATAATGCTATGATTCTAAGAGAAATAATTTCCAGAATCATAAGTCACAAAGAGAAATGACTCTCCATTGTGTAAGATGTTCTTCTTCTTTCTGGCCTCTACACTGGTGAGAACAGATTCTAATAAAGACACATTTAATTTAGAGTGTTTTACAGATTAAAAATCATAAATGTGAAATTCCACTATTTCTCACTGAATCCTACATAAATTACCTAACTTCAAAGCTAACAGCAAGCATTTCATAAGATATTAAGTCCATTTTGAAGACTAATATCAAAAGCTATTAGAGATAAAAAAAAAAAAATAGCAACATTCTAGGCCGGGCGTGGTGGCTCAAGCCTGTAATCCCAGCACTTTGGGAGGCCGAGGTGGGTGGATCACAAGGTTGAGAGATCGAGACCATCCTTGGTCAACATGGTGAAACCCCGTCTCTACTAAAAATACAAAAAATTAGCTGGGCATGGTGGCACGTGCCTGTAATCCCAGCTACTCAGGAGGCTGAGGCAGGAGAATTGCCTGAACCCAGGAGGCGGAGGTTGCGGTGAGCCGAGATCGCGCCATTGCACTCCAGCCTGGGTAACAGGAGCGAAACTCCGTCTCGAAAAAAAAAAAAAAAAATAGCAACATTCTTATAAACAAAAACTTATTTAAAAATAAAATTTAAAATATTATTTTGCACTGACAGGCTAAGGAGATTGAATTATGTTTACCAAAAGCTACTTAGAAAGTTAGGAAAATGTCCAGATTTAATTTATGTTAAAACATTTTATAAACTTCTTTTAAACATTATAAAAATAATATACAGTCATTTTAGATCATTGTAAAAGTGCAGAAAGCAAAAGATGAAAAAAAAATTCACCTTCAAATTCCCAAATACAATCCTTTTGTCAGACATATTATAAATATTACTAAATATCAGAATTCAAACAAACAGATAAGTTTTCCAGATTAGTAAGAAAATTCAACAGACTGTAACAATGTCGACTGAAAAACAAATTTTACTGTATATTTCAGTGTAATGGTTTTAAGAAATATTTTCTGTGTACCATTTTCTAAGGCAGAAGTGCCTTGCTTAGGATTGGTTTGTAAATATCATTGCTTTTTAGTGTGTATACAGCCCAATAAAACTGGGAGTTGGAGTCACACAGCTTGCATGGCGAGTAAAACAGTATAATAACTTCAGGACTGTCTTCATCTTGACGCACATTGAAGCAATTAGGAAAAGGCTTAATTAGCACCTCACATGCTCACAGCTTTGTTTATTCCAAGAGTTCTAAATGGAGACTCAGTAATCACCATGAGGAGAGAGAACTTCTAATTCAAGAACAAATAGCATTGAGTTTCCCTTGGAAACTGTCATGTAAATAGTTTTGAAGAAATAAAAATGTATGTTTCTAGAAAGAAAAAAAAAAAAGACTCTTCACATTACTCTTCCTTTTTCTTTTTTCTTTTTTTTTTCTTTTTTGAGACGGAGTTTTGCTCTTGTTACCCAGGCTGGAGTGCAATGGTGCAATCTCAGCCTCACCGCAACCTCTGCCTCCTAGGTTCAAGCAATTCCTGCCTCAGCCTCCCGAGTAGCTGGGACTACAAGCATGCACCACCATGCCCAGCTAGTTTTTGTGTTTTTAGTAGAGACGGGGTTTCACCTTGTTGACCAGGATGGTCTTGATCTCTTGACCTCGTGATCTACCCGACTCAGCCTCCCAAAGTGCTGGGATTATAGGCATGAGCCACCGCGCCCGGCCTCACATTACTCTTCCTACCCTCAAATAAACTTGTCTATGGCTTTTATTTCTGAAAAGGAAAAGAGCATCTACAATGGACCCTTGAACAACATGGGGTTAGGAGACTGGCCCCTCTTGCAGTCGAAAATCTACATATAACTTTTGACTGCCCAAAAACTTAACTACTAGCAGCCTACTGTCAACCAGAAGTCTTACCAATAACATAAACAGTCGATTAATATGTATTTTGTATGTTACATGTAATATATAATTGTATTCTTACAATAAAGTAAGCTAGAGGAAGAAAATGTCATTAAGAAAATCATGAAG